CTCATCAAAGAAAAAAATCCACCAAGAGGACATCACAGTCCTGCCTCAATCTATGCCTCAAATACAAGGTCACCTGCATTCTTAAAAGAAACATTATTAAAGTTTAAATCACACATCCATCTCAGCACATTAATAGTGGGAGACTTCAACACTCCACTCTCCCCAATGGACAGATCATCAAGACAGAAGCTAAATAAATAAAGAAGCCAACAGAGGTAGTGAATCAAATGGACCTAATAGAACATTTCATCCAAACACAAGAGAATATACTTTTTTCTCAGCACCACATGGAACCTTCTCCAAAACTGACCATATAGTCCAAAGAAAACTTCAACCGATACATGAAAATTGAATTAACCCATTGTTTATCAGATCACCATGGGTTAAAGCTAGACCTCAACAGCATCAGAAACAACAAAAAGCCTACACACTCATGGAAACTGAACAACTCCCTGCTTAATGATCACTGGGTGAGGAAAGAAATAAAGAAACAAATTAAAGACTTCCTAGAATTCAATGAAAATGAGGGCACAACTTACCCAAACTTATGGGACACCATGAAAGCAGTGCTCAGAGGAAAGTTCATAGCACCAAGTTCCTTCATAAAGAAAGTAGAGAGATCCCATATTAGCAACTTAACAAATCACCTGAAAGCTTTAGAAAAAAGAGAAGCAAATACACCCAAGAGGAGTAGATGGCAGGAAATAATCAAAATCAGGGCTGAAATCAATAAATTAGAAACAAAGAGAGTAATACAAAGAATCAATGAAACCAAGAGTTGGGTCTTTGGGAAAAATCAACAAAATAGACAAACCCCTAACCAAACTAACTAAAAGATAGAAAGACAGAACCCAAATTAACAAAATCAGAAATGAAAAGGGTGCTATAACAACAGATACTGAGGAAATCCAAAGAATCATTAGGTCTTACCTCAAAAGCCTGTATTTGATTTATCAAAGATAAATCAAGAGCAAGTAAATAGTTTAAACAGCCCTATAACCCCTAAAGAAATAGAAGCTGCCATCAAAAGTTTCCAAAAAAAAAAAAGGCTAGGGCCAGATGGTTTTAGCACAGAATTCTACCAGACTTTCAAAGAAAAGCTAACACCAATAGTTCTCAAAATATTCCACCAAATAGAAACAGAAGGAATATTACCAAACTCATTCTATGAAGCCACAGTCCAGACTTTCAAAGAAGAGCTAATACCAATACTCTTCAAACTATTCCACAAAATAGAAACAGAAGCCACAGTCACCCTGATACCTACACCACACAAAGACTCAACAAAGAAAATTTCAGACCAATCTCCCTTATGAACATTGATGCAAAAATACTCAGTAAGATACTTGCAAACCGAATTCAAGAACACATCATCCACATCATCCACCATGATCAAGCAGGCTTCATCTCAGGGATACAATGCACAGACCCCAAGAAGATAAGCCCGATGGGCATCTTAGGCTACATGTGGGCCCACTAGTTAGGGCAGTGACCAGTGAGGATGTGTGGAAATCTGTATGGCTTCTGTGATGGCTCTTCTTGGTTGTCAGCTTAACTTCATCTGGAATTAACTAAAATCCAAGCAGCTGGGCACAACCTGTGAGATTTTTTTTTTTTTTTAAATTAAATCATTTGAAGTGGGAAGACTCACCTTTAATCCAGATCTTTTGTGGTGGGAAGATCCACCTCAAATCTGGGCCACACCTTCTTCTTCCACCTATAGAAGGGGCACAGAAGAGGAAAGCTCTTTGCTTGCTTGCCCTTGCTCTCACTGGCAAGACTATTCCTTCAGTGGCACTGGCAGAGGTTCTGCATGGGGCGTGCTGAATGTGTTCCCTGCCGGAGGAAACACCCCTTCCTTATGACATGGGGAGGCGAGCTGCGCAGAAGCGCCAGGGCACTGCAGGTGGATCTGAATGTTGCAGAGATGTCCCTGCTTGCAGCCCTGAGGGAAAGTGTTCCCTGAGGAGTTAGCTGTCCGTCTGGTCAGACACTCGGGATGATGCTCTTCCTGTAGGCTCCCTGTTACCCCTTACAGTAAGGGGCCTCACCATGCAGTGAGCCACATGGACTCACATTCATTAGTGAGATGGCAGACCTGAGTAAAATCGCTGTGGATCCTGCACAGCCCTGACAAGCCCGATGGCATACCCAGACTTGTAGCTACCTTGAGTAATTTCTGCTTTTTTGACTCTTGTATGGGGTCTCCAAGGGGCTTGGGTTGACCCTTTTTATGATAGCTGTACAAAGCTATCAGTCACTAGTGGTTATAGTATTGATGGTGAAGTCACCAAAATTGGCCAAGCCAAAAAGAGGCCTTACTTCAGTAAGGCCTATGTATTGAGAACTTTAGTATGAGGTGATTTCCCTGCAAATGAAAGACATTAATTAGGGAAAGATTTACTTTCAAAACCAGGGCATATAGAGGGAATACTATTTTAAGGAGAGGGAAAGAGAAATTCCTCTAAAGAAAAGAGATGTTATAGGAATGGGTTAAAGACACTAGGCAAACATATGGACCTATTCCCAAACTCAGAGGTGGGCAAGGGCCTGTGATTCCAGAAAGGACTGTTAGAGTGTTGATAAGATGGAGTCTGGGTCGTGAAGGGGCACCAGCCAACAGTGCAGAGGCTAACGAGCTATGGAAACTGTATAGAAAATCTCAATTGTGGGAAACAGATGGGATTTGTGATTTAAGTCCCAGTACTTTAAGAGCCTATGCTGTCTGCTTAAATGCATCTTCAAGGTGTTCCATAGCACTGTTAGCTGGCATGGGGAAGACCCTGAAGAACGTTTGCATTCTCCCAGCGGAAACACATGGAAAATATTACTATAACGCCCACAGCAGCCCCATCTCCATCTCTGACTGTGACTGAGAACAGAGATGTGTTGCAACCATAAACCCTACAGAATCTGTCTTCTGATGGGTTTTGCCTTTTGTTTCTACCCCTATCATAAAGAATATTTTGTACGTGGGGAAATGATGATTCTGTTGGGAAGGAATTAAAAATGACTCCGTACTGTCATCTGATTTCTTCTGTGATGTGACTGTCCATTTACTTCCTCAAACTGGAACTTGGTAGAATCAAGATAATAGGGAAGGTCAAATGTTTCTGTTTAGGACATTGTCACCATCCGGGTTACTTTGAATCTAACATTTCCTTCCTTCCTTCCTCTCTTCCTCCCTCCCTTCCTTCTTCCTTTGCTCCGCATTTCCTTCCTCTCTTCCTGCTCTTTTTCCTTCCCTCCTTTCTTCCTCTTCCTCTTCTTGACAGTGTCTCATGTAGCCCAGGCTGGACTTGAACACCTGATGTATAGTCAAGGCTGGCCTTAACTTCTGGTCCTTTCGCTTCTCCCTTCTGAGAGTTGAGGTTACAGACATGTGCTACTACGTCCACTGGACATTTCTTTGAGGCAAAGTCTTGCTATGTAATTCAGGCTGGTCTTGGACTTGCCATGCTTTCCTGCCTCTGGGTGCTGGGACTACAGGCATGCAGTACCCACCCCTCCCAGCTCTCTGCTAGACCTTTCTGAACATGAAAGTATCTCTGGCGGTCAGGAACCTGCCAAAGTGTTGTGCTCACGGTCCCTAGGGCTGTAGGTCAGCCGGGACAGGGGTTTCTGAATCCCCCCCCTGCTCTAGCCTCCTGAAAGGAGGCTCCCTACGAAGGCTGAGTAAAACTTCTTCTGATTATGGAGTGCTCCAGGCTGACAGTCTAATTACAATTTCTCTCGGGCTGTTTTTGCCCCCAGCAGCCATTCCTTGTCCACAAGTGTGTCAGGCCTAACATCCCGACATGCAGATAAAATCGTGGAGTACACTGTCTTAACAAAACCCTGTTTTCCACCAACAGAAAGGCTACGAGCACTATCAGACAGCAAGAGTGACCCACGGGTGAGGGTCCCCTTTGCGTTTTTAAATGTATTGATTTGTAGCTTTCTTTGTTCTGTTACATCAAAATTTCCATGAAACGGCTCCCACACATATGTGGAGAGAACTCTATCTTGAGCCCTGGTTACTAATATTTTAGCTCAAGAAATAAACTCTCTTTTATTCCTTTTGAGATGGACATTGTGGCTTTTTGAGAGGAACAGCTTTGGGTCCCTGGAATAGAGAGCCAGAGGCGGGCTAATCACTGGCAGATCAGCAGGGCAGGGCGGCCCAGCCAAGAGCGGAGCCCACTGGCTTCTTCTGAGAGACTGGCTCTTAAAACAGGCTCTCTTTTTGGTTTTTGTTTTTAACACAGTGTGTGTGCGTGCGTGTGTGAGTGTGTGTTGGTTTCTTTTTTGTCAACTTGATGCAAACTAGAGTCATCTGGCAGAATGCCAGAGAAAATGCCCCCATCTGTGGACAAGCCTTCAGACTCCTGCCCTGGCTCCCCTAATGATGGACTGTCACCTGCTGTGAGCCAAATAAACTCTTCCCTTCCCATGTTGCTGTTGGTCATGGCCTGACCACAGACACCTAGGGTTGTCGGTGGTGGTCAGGCTTCCCTTGTCGGAGGCAAGTGCACACATCTGAGCCAGCCCCTGCTCAGCCTCGGGATCGGCTTTCCTGGTGAAGACGGTTGGTTATGAAGTGCTGCTGTCTATTATGGGCTGACCCCGGGGCAGTCACTCTTTACGGTTGTGTCTTTAACCCTCGTGCCCTTTTCACTTCACAGACAGGCCAGACTGAGAGCCAACGGCTAGCAAAGTTCTGAACAAAGTGCAGAGCTTTTCTGTTCGTGGAGGCGTCTCAGCACACGAGACTAGGAACTCAGCCTTGACAAGCACTAGCTTCGTGGACAGGGACAAAGAGGAGCCTTTCTCATGCAGATTTTAACAATTACACTAGAGCAGTTTTATTAATTCTTGTATGGCATACATCGGCGATGTCCCCAAATCCCATATGCTAAGCAGTGAGCTAGGGGACAGTAGTGGCCAGCTTGTGGTGCTGTTGGGAGCAGTGCAACCAGACAAAAACAAAACAAAACAAAACAAAACAAAAAACACCCCACTCTTCTTTCTTGTAAATTGTTTATGTCAGGTATTTTTTACAACAGCGGAAAGCTAGCTAACACAATATACAAATATAGAATATTTACAGAACACCACCAATAATACAAAACACGCAGGCAGGAAAGGAAATTTCTTTGATCCTTGAGTATCTGAAATGTTCACGTGTGTCCAGCATGGGGAGTGCGTGGGGAGGGGCCACTTTGTGATGAGGATGATTTACGGGCATTCTTATGATTTTATGGTGTTTCCACTTTTTCTCCCTATTTAAAACACTTCTGCTTCTCAGAATTTAAATTGGCTTTTATTTTAGTAAGTGCAAAGGGCTCAAATTACATTCAGTGGTCATTAAAAAAATAATTATTAAAGTCTCTCTCTCTCTAGACAGGGTCTTTCGTCCAGCTTGGCCCTGAACTCCCTGTGTCCCTTGAGCCTCTGACCCTCCTGCCTCTACCTCCCAAGTGTGGGGCTTCTAGGCAGACAGCACCACCCACCCTGCTTCTGAGGTGCAGGGGATCAAAGCTCGTACCTCATTGTGTGCCTGGTGCGCTCAGTCCGCCGGGCTGCACCCTCGGCCCTCATTATCAAAGTCTCCATAAAGCAGTGAACTCCCAAGCGGAGAACTCTGCGGCTGCAGTCTCTGGTCCTGGCTCTCTGGTTGTCTCTACCAGGCCAGCTTCAGGAAGCCCAAGGCTTGGAGTTTTCTGATCACACTTCTGAGGCCGACCTGAGCAGCAAGGGGTCACTGAGCGCAGGCGCGGGGCTTTTATCCGTGGGCTCCAGCTCCTGATGTCCTGGCTCACACAGGGTCCCCAGGGCACAGCTGTCGGCAGGAATCTGCTTGCTGTCTTCTATGGCTTCCGTGACGACACTCAGTTTGTCAAACACTTCAGGCTCCTCAGTGAGAGGGAAGGAGAAGAGCAGAAGTGTGCTGTGATGGGAGGGGCCCAGAAACTGCAGGGAAATGAGAGGGCTGTTACTCAAACCACCCTGTTCTCCCCTTTTCTGGGCTGACAAGGATTTTATGCAAAACTTTTAAGGGTAGAAAAATGCAACAGTAATGTTATGGTGCCTCCTTGAAAAGGAATTATCACACGATAATCCACGCACAGGAACAGTCTCACGGGAAGTGAGCAGGCAGCTGAAGAGGATCACACTTCGTGTCAGGAGCATTGCTAACAGCGGCCGGACAGCAGGACAAGGATAAGTGCACAAATGTGCTGACACTTCAGTGGAATATTATTCTGTTTTTTTAAAAAAGAAGATGCTGGTCCGGCAAAATGGCTCAGCAGGGAGAGGTGCTCCCCACGCACACCTGATTACCCAAGTGTGATCCCCCAACCCCAAGGCAGGAGGACAGAGCTAACTCCTGAAAGGTTGTCCTCTGGCCGCCCCTCTCCCCCACAGTGGCATTGCAGACACTGTCACTCACACACAAGCACACACACATACACACGAATGTACACATGCACACACACACACTAATATTTTTAAAGAAAAAAATTCTGACACATTCTACAACATGGAAGAGCACTGAAGACATTATGTTAAGTGAAATACGCTAGCCATAAAAAAACGACAAGGAGGGCCTGGGGATGCAGCTCAGTTGGTGCACTGACTGCTTAGCACACACAAAACCTTGCGTTCTACCCCCAGCACAGTATGTATGTGTATACACACACACATACATGTAGAGTACCACAATTTAAAGAGGCAGGACAAGCACTGGCAGTTTCTCTACAGAACGCTCACTGTCACTCCTATCTTCCTAAGAAACAAGATGGCTGCTTAGCCTGACCCTTAGCTGAGGCACACTCCTGGCTGCCATTTCCTCTGGGAAGCAGGTGTGTAGGGATACGAGGGGGTGATGCACAGGCCGTGGATAAATGTGTCATGAGCCTACACGTGATGTCTCTCATGTGTCTTGGGCCAAGCTCACCAGCCCCTCTGTGACCTTTAACCTCGTAATCTCCAGTACAGTGGCCCCAAGCTGCTTGTGGCTACTAGCCGCTTAACATGTGGCTGGTTAGAACAGAGGTATGTTGTGAAACAGACACGTGATGTTGAAGGTTTTGTATGAAAAAATGTAAAATATCTTAATAACTTAAAAACATTGGGTTGCATATTGGTTGAATATTGAAACGGTGGTATTTCAGGTGTTCTGGGTTTCATAAATTACTGCAAAACTGAAACAGGTACTGGCCCAGCAGCACCATGCTGGGGAGCTCTATCCGGCTTCCGGAGTTCAGTTTACATGTGCCCTGCATCATGAGTCCAACTGGAGAGTGGTTGCGTTTTTAAACAAAATCCCAAATGTTCGATTTTACCACTAAAGACTCGGGAGCCAGATGCTGGGGTGAAAACCTGCTAGCTCAGAGAGACAGAGAGAGCACCCAGCCGACCCTCCCACTCAGCCAAACCCGTGAGGCTGCCAGGCCCGTCCTGCCCTTACTGAGGTCCGGGGACGCCAGGCAGCTACACACCGGCAGGCTCAGCCCACTGTATCTGTCCTGTCTCTGTTCATGCAGTGACCCCATCAGTAGACACAGTGTCATGACCAGATGTGGAAGGCCAGCATTGCTTTAGGGGGAGGAGGGCATGGTATATGCGGATCCTATCGTGGGAGCAAGCCCCCAGGCTGCACCTCAGCCTGTGCGCGTGTGCTCCGGCTCTTAGTGTGTAAATAAGAAGACTTACAGTCTTCAGCTGGATACATTCCCGCTTCTCTCAAAACCTTCAGAAAACATCCTTCCCCGTTGCCCCCCCTCCCCCCGCATCCACGATACACACCCCAGAGCATCAATCACCATCATATTCCCAAACCGGAAACATACCACACCTCTCCCTCCCTTGACTGTCCCTTCACCAGCGTTCAGTGTGGAGTGTTCTTTCCCATCTCTGTACTAAATTCGGCTCTCTCTCTTCTGCTAGAACCATTACCTTTTAACCCAAGGACTTGATGCTCTGGACAGTGGAGAAGGCGATAGCCAGGTCCAGGGTGGGGTTGGGGTGGGGTTGTGGCTTCCTTGGCGCATGGGAATGGGCAGTGCAGGGACTTGTACATACTCTTGAAGAACATGCTGCCAGGCACTGGACGGCCTTGACCTTAGAGAAGTCTCTCCTCATTCCACCCAACCTACCTCCTTCAGGTGCTGTGGAAGAGACGTCCCAGAGCGGAAGGTGTACTTGGCCTTCTTGTAAATGAACCACAGCAAGCCAAAGCAGCCAAGGAGAAAGAGGACGACCACAAAGACGGAGGTTATGAGGACAGCGGCCACCATCCAGGAAGGAGTCATTTCTGCTGGGGACAATGGGGCCGGTCAGACTCTTGGCTTGTGCACACACACAGGTTGAGTCACAGGGTTCATGCACCCACTGTGATCCAAAACAATCCCTTCAACCAGGCCCATCCGGTCACAGTGGCCCAGGAGCACGGCGGCTGGCTGGAGGGAGGTCCTCGGTGTCTTCCTTGAGTTCCACCCCGTTCCTGAATCCTCTTTGCAGTGTGGTTTCCGGCAGGGATGATGGCACAGGGAAGAATGGCAGGCAAGGACCCCAGTCCACCTGCCTGTCTGTAGAGGGGCGGAGCTGCCTGCTCTAGGCCTTGCGCTTTGACACTGAGAACAGGGCACAGGGGAGGCACAGGCCTGGGCACCTATGTTTGGTAATGAGAAGCAGAGCCAGCTTTACAGCAAGGAGCACACACAAATCCTTGGGCCTAGGGACCTGAGTGACCATCACTGATGCCTTGCCCCTGGGCCATGTTTCCTGGAGGTTCTGACCAGAGCCTGCAGACTGTGTTGCTGCCAACACATTTCTCTGGTTACTTACCGTGAGCTTTTCCAGAAAGGCCTGTTCACCTGAGCCCCTCTCTGGCCATCTGGACACACCCATGGTACTGTGACCCAGAAGTATCTTCCACAGGGCCCAGTAACCTCTCTGTGAAGCCGACAGGAAGGCTGTCTCCATAGATCAGCAGGTTTTGGTAACTCAGCTGGCAGAGGGAGAGTGGTAATGGCACTGAACTCAGTTTACTCATCTTCTACTCCCCTGACTCTGCTTATTCTGGCTCCTTCTCTCTCCACTTTCTCCCTTTCAGACATTCAGCTCCTTCCCATTTGAGGTAGGTAGTCACCGAATAAAATCCAGCATTTCCTCTTTAACCAACCTGCTTGGTTTCTGTGGGAGCATCCAGGTCACCTGGTCAGCTATGGCCCCAGCTCCCCTCACTCACAACAGGTCCTTCTCCTGCTGACCTGGCCACTCCTCCACCCACCCGTTGTCCACAGCACCACCTTCATGACCAAGGGTGGATGGCACCTGATGGGGCTGAGAGAACGCACCCTTGGGAAGAGCCAGTCATCTGAAAAGAAACTTGTGCGGAGAAGGCCAAATGTCACATCAGAACAGAGAACCCTGATCAGTATGCCGGTCCTGGCATTCCACTGACCATAGGCTCTGCTGCTACTTGAGTCAACTTGTCATGGTGCCCCGCTCTTTAACTGTTCGTGGGTAAATGGATGGATGGATGGACAGATAGACAGATGGAGTATTTGTATGGGTGAGAGACTAGGAAGAAACTGTCACAACTCCCTCCCTCCCTCTCTCTCTCCTTCCCTCCCAATCTCCTTGTGTTAGCATTCCTCACACACCAATTTCCTGACTGTCCTGCCTTGCTGATTGGAAGAACTTTATCCCAGTTCCTGGGATCTTGTTTCAGCTGCACAGCCCTCTGTCCCTTTCGTGTCTTAGAAGAGGCTGCTTGGATGTGTCCTGATAAGTGGCAGGCCCAGAGAGCTGGCTGGAGCAGCCCCTAGGCGGACTCTGACAATGAGAGGCCAGCCTGGTTCCCAAGAAAGCTTTAGGCTCCTACTCACCCACCACACAAGCGCCTACTCTAGCATGGCAGGAAGAATCAGTGTTGCTGGGATCTCTCAGGTCAGGGTGGTGGACAACACAGCTGGTTTCCTGGTGTTTTAGATAAGGGCAGGTAGCTAGCCTTTGCGACTTTGTGAGTTCTTCTTCTCCCACCCTGGTTTCATCCCTATCACTAGATAGGAGAGAAAGGATAGGGGGGAGAGGTCCCTGAATCTAATTTATTTCCTTTTGCTTCTTCTTTGAGCACAGCTCCTAACAAACCGCAGACTGCCGCCATGACCACCCCCAACGCTGCTTCTCGGGCCCTGGCATTTATACACCCTCTGAAAAGTTCCCAGAATTCCAAACATCACACAATTTCGAAAACTATCTGCAGCTGGCAAACCCATTCCTCCGCTAGAGCATGAGGCAAGTCACAGGCAGCTTCTATGGACAGTGTGAAGTAGCCCCATATCCCCACACCTGAGATTAAAACAAACACACATTCTCAATACATATGTGTGTGTGTGCATACATACATACATATATATATATATATATATATATAATATTTAAATATTATAAAAGGTTTTCAGTGTGAGCATCCTAGAGATGAAAAAAAAAAAAGAAGAAGACTCCAAGGTTCCTTCTATTCCCAGGGTCACTCAGTTAATGATGGTCAAAGACATATAATATATGATATATGATATATGATATATGATATATGATATATAATATATAATATATAATATATAATATATAACATATAACATATAACATATAATATATAACATATAATATACATTGGTTTTAAAGTCCGAATGTCTCTGTGTAGCCTTGGCTGTCTTGAACTCACTAAGTAGACCAAGCTGGTCTACCGAGTCCCAGAGATCTGCCTGCCTCTGCCTCCCTGAGTGCTGGGATTACAGGCGTGTTCCACCACGTCTGGCTATTTTTGTGTTTTTTTAAAAACCCAAATATTCTAGAACTGTCACTCCAGAGACATGCCTGGCGGGTGGTGGCACTTTTGCTATTTCTCTAGAAGAGTGCCGGGGGTGATGGTGAGAGAGTGCTTTCTAAGGAGTGAGTTGCAGGGCAACTTACCAAGCCATGCTATGGCCTGAAGTTCCTCCCCTGGCTGCAGACCTATCGGACAGTGCCATGGCAGACCACTTTTTATTTTAAGGGTTGGGGCACCTCAGTCTACCTTCGGAATTAATTTGTAGGCAATGATTTAAAGGGAACGTAACCTGGGTTTTTAAGGGCCTGTGTTCAGTTATGTCTTTATCCTTCCTTAGCTGAGTGACTTTGGGCAATAGAAGGAAACTTAGGGCCTTCCTTTTCTAGATCCCTAGAGTGCTCACTCTGAAATTTATAGTATTTAAATTAAATCTAAAAAGAAAAACTTGTTAATTAGGCATTTGCCAAATAGCTTTCCTATTTCTCGTTTTTAAAATAAGAACGTTTGGGTCTAGTCAGGAGACAAGAGTCTTACTCTGTGGCCTAGGTTGGCCAAAAACTTACCACACAGTCCAGCCTGGCCTCATGGTGATTCTCCTGCCTCAGCCTCACAAGTATTGAAATTACAGGCTTGAGCCACCACACCAGGCTTTAAGTACTTTTCTTTTAGATCAAATTGTGTCCCTCACATCAGATTTCACAACACCGTTGGCTCTGCAGGTGTCCCGTCTCCCATGCACTCAGATTGCTGCGATTCTTGACAGGTGTTGGGCCATATATGTCCACCTGGTAGGTGTCACCATGCATCTGCGTATAGGTGGCCCCCAGGCTAAGGAGCACGGTTCCATGCCCCACCCTTCCTTCCTCTGCTTGTTTTGTTTTAATCCTCCTCTCCTCTCCCCTCCTTTTCTCCTCCCTTCCCCTACCTCCTCTCCCCTCCTCTCTTCTCCCCTCCTCTCCTCTCCCCTTCTCTCTTTTCCCCTCCCTTTCCCTACCTCCTCTTCCCTCCTCCCCCTCCTCTTCTCTACTCTCCCTCCTCTCCTCTGCTCTGCTCTCCCCTCCTTTCCTCTCCCCTCCTTTCCCCTCCTCTTCTCTACTCTCCTCTCCCCTCCTCTCCTCTGCTCTGCTCTCCCCTCCTCTGTTCTCTCCTCCTCTCCTCTGCGATCCTCTCCTCTGTTCTTCTTTCCTCTCCTATCCTCCCTTCCTTTTCCTTCTTCTCCTACTTCTCTCCTCCTCCTTCATCATGCAGGATGTGTGTTCTCAAGCATGCTGGGGTAGAATCCAGGGCCACATATGCTAAGAAAGCCCCCCCATCACTGAAACACACTCTGAACCACTGATCTGTTAATAAACAGTGTGGAGAGCACCCTGCTAGATGCCACTGTGCCCCGGGTTCATATTTACTTCAATCCGTAATGGCATCAGCTGAAGTCACTGATACGTTTTCCACGTTCCCCCTCCCAGTCATTATATGTCCCCCAAACTAGAAATGCAGGGAAGGAAAGATAAGATGGGAGGGCTCAGTCTCTGCTAGGTGTTCATATGAGAACCACTTAACCTATTTCATCGAGCTGAAAGGGCAACCGAGCATGAAAGCTGGATTCGTGGAGACAGACTCCAGCCCACTGAACTAGCTGAGCCGGGTTCTTAAGAATGGGTCATCTCATTTTTCAGCCTGAAGCAGACCGGTCTGGGGGACCATGCTGAGGAGGCTGAGGCTGATTTCTGCCCTGTGGTAGAGTTTGAGCTGACTGCCACATATGCAGGACCCACGGCAGGGGCCACGCAGCCCTGAGAAGGCAGTTACTCACCGTCACTGGTCGCCCGCTCACACACAGGTTTGCTCCATTCTCCGGTTCTGTTCTGGCCTTGAAGAAACCCTTGAACTTGAACGCAGTAAGTTGTCCATGGCTCCAGGCCTCTGACGACCTCAAAGTCATATGGAGAAGTGACTTGAACCTACAAGGGGGACACAGCAGTGTGAAAGGACGTCATCTCTCCTTTATTCCCCGTTCCTTCATGCTACACAACTGTGCTCCAGACTCCTCAGGAAGAGCCACTGGCTAGAATACCTTCCAGCTCTCCACACATGCTGCATCCTAAGGCTGGGACAAGACCAACTGCGAGGCCGCCAAACTATCTCATTGCCTCCATCCTGGAGCATGGGAGACATCTAAACCATCACACTCCCCTTTAAAAAAACTACCACAGCCAAACAAGACAGCCAGGCTCCTTTCCTCATGGGGCCCAGTGCGCAGTGCCTACAAACAGCAGGTCCCTGGTGGTGGTGGTGGTGGTGGTGTGTGTGCATCCTGCTGCCTGTACAGATTGCTCCCCTCTATGACTATCTATGCTATTCATTCCCTTTCTGTCATATTATCCCTACTCTAGGTTCCACACAGGTGAGGTGCCTTTGGGGTGCCTCAGGGCACACTGGTCAGGATTCATGCTGGTCAGGTCATCATGTACGCTGCAAAGGAGAGCACATGTGGCTGACACTCTCTATAGGACCAAGTTTAAGTTCCACAGATCAAAAAATGGTGCTTTGCCAAGATGAATACAGACAAACTGAAGACACAGCAGCAGAGGAGCAGCTGATCCTGATGGCTGAGGGCTAAATAATCTCCAGTCTCAGCCCTGTACAAGTGGTGGGCCATGCCCTCATGAGGGTTTCCACAGTGCTGTTCACTAATGAATACACTGAGAGAGAGAGAGAGAGAGAGAGAGAGAGAGAGAGCGCACCATTAATGGGTTGAACTGCATCCCACAAAACTGTATGTATTTGTACCTATAAATATGACCTTATTTTGGGGGAAGGCTCTTTAAAATTTAAATTTATTTTTGGGCATGGTGGTGCATGCATTTAATCCGAACACACACACACACACACACACACACACACTAAAATAAATCTTTAAATATAATATTTTTTAAAAGACTATAAATTTGGACATACAGATAGGAACCCAGGGAGAAAGCCGTGCAAATAAAATGGCCAAGTCTGTAGGCTGTCACTTTGTTCTGACAACAGTGTCCTTTGCTGTACAGAAACTTTCAGTTTCGTGAGGTTCCATTTATTGATTGTTGATCTTAGAGCCTGTGCTGTTGGTGTTCTGTTCAGGAAGTTGTCTCCTGTGTCAATGAGTTCAAGGCTCTCTCCCACTTTTCTAACATATTTAGAAAAGTGTGTTGGTTTTATGTTGAGGTCTTTGATCCACTTGGACTTAACTTTTGTGCAGGGTGATAAATATGGGTCTATTTGCATTTTTCTACATGTAGAGATCCAGTTAGACCAACACCATTTGTTGAAGATACTATCTTTTTTCCATTGTATGGTGTTGGCTTCTTTTTAAAAAATCGGGTATCCTTAGATGTGTGGGTTTAATTCTGGGTCTTCTATTCAATTCCATTGATCCTCGAGTCTGTTTCTATGACAGTGCCACGCAGTGTTCTTTCAAGTTCTGTAAAGAATTGGGTGGGGTTTGCATTGAATCTGTAGGTTTTGGTAGGATGGCCATTTTTACTATGTTAATCCTACTGATCCATGAGCATGGGAGATCTTTCTGTCTTCTTCAATTTCTTTTTTCAGAGACTTGAAGTTTTTTTCATACAAGTCTTTCACTTGCTTGGTTAGAGTTACACCAAGGTACTTTATGTCTTTTGTGGCTATTGTGAAGGGTGTTGTTTCCCTAATTTCTTTCTCAGCCCATTTGCCTTTTGTATGCAGCAGGGCTACTGTTTTTTGTTGTTGTTGTTGTTTGTTTGTTTGTTTGTTTGTTTTTAATTTTGTATCCAGCCACTTTGCTGAAGGTATTTATCAGCTGTAGAAATTCTCTGGTAGAATTTTTGGGGTTACTCATATATACTATCATATCATCTGCAATAGTGATACTCTAACTTCTTCCTTTACAATTTATATTCCCTTGATCTCCTTTAGTTGTCTTATTGCTCTAGCTAGAACTTCAAGTACTCTTTTGAGGAGATATGGAGAGAGTGGGCAGCCTTGCCTTATCACTGATTTCAGTGGGATTGATTTAAGTTTCTTTCCATTTAGGTTTTTTTGTTGTTGTTATTGGCTTGCTGCATATTGCCTTTGGGAGGGTAAGTGAGAGGGAGGAAGGGATCAGGTGAAGAAGAGGGAGGGGGCTACAACTGGGATACAAAGTGCATAAATTGTTAAAAAAAATAATAAAAAGAAAATGGCCAAGGTCTGAGGGCGCTCTTTGAAGCCAAACAATCGCCAGCAAGCCTGACGGGGTGCAGGGAGAAGTATGGAGTGAATCCCACATCTTCAGGAGATTATCCCTGAAGATGTGCTGTTGTTCTTCAACTCTCAGGCTCCAGACATGTTAGACAAGGCATTTCTGTGGCTGAAGCTACCTAATTAGGAATCTCAGCAAGTTAACAAGAGCCGTGGACGGTGAGATTCAGTGTGCCTTCTTCCCTGACCACCAGGTGTGGTGCATGTTTGCTCTCCTGGCTGTTTGGGGTTCCCCATGTGTGTGCCTAGGTGGGCTCCAACTCCCAGGCTCTTATTCTCTTCAGGGCACCCCTGCCTTCCTCCCTGCTGGCTGAAGCCTCTGACTAATGCCATTTGAATTCAAATGCAAGGACATCATAATTAATGATATGCTTCAGCAAAATGAAGGGATTAAATTTTTTAAAAACTTTTTTTTTTAAGTTGGGGTCTTCAAGAGGCCACTGGCAAGAGCCCTCATGAATGCCATTAATGGTCTTACAAAAGCGGTGCCAGGGAGCTTACTGCCACCTTTTGCCTTCACCTGAGTGATCTAAGCACATGGCGTCAGGAGCGGCATCACCTTAGGAGGGAAGTGGGCTAGTCTTCACAAGACTCTGGACCTGAGGCTGTGCCTTGACCTTGGACCCCTCTGCCTCTAGAGTTATCATTCATAAACTATCCATTTTATTACAGCAGTGGGAACAGACCATGACATAGCCCCACTCAGTGGGAGGGTTTTTTTTTTTGGTGAAAAAATTAACTTGAGATTTGGGTTTGGCTCTCCAGTGTGTGTGTGTGTGTGTGTGTGTGTGTGTGTGTGTGTGTGTGTGATTGTATTATCCTAAGACAATGAACATGAGTGATCTTCCTCTCAGACTTTTGGGAAGGAACTGATGAACAAATTTAATATAATTAATTTATACAGCACATGTCAGTTTAGGACCACAAATGGCATTCCGCTCAGGAGCACTAAGTTTGACCAAAAATGCATGAATATCTGCAAATAATGAGAAGGGATCTTCATATTGTTCCAGATAGTGGGAAAGTGTGGCTTTCGTCAGCAAATCCCCCAGCAGTTCAGCGAACTGGACTACTCTTCCTGTTTCGTGAGTGAAGCGGGTTCTTGTGTTCACTCTTGAGGAAGCTAAGGTCATAGATGTGGCCAGAGCAACATGGTGACAGAGGCAATACTCCAACCAGACCTCTTAGCTTCAAGCATTGATTTCAAAAGAGAGCTGGCAAAATGACTCATTCTGTAAAGGTCTCCAGAGACCTGATCTCCAGAGCTGTGGTGTGCCCTTTGGTATAAAGAAATAAATGTAATAAATTTTTCTTTTAAAATAATTGCTCTCTAAAGAAGAGAGCAACAGGGAAAATTGGATAGGAAGGGTTAAAAAAAAAAGACAGCATTCTTAAACATCTTGGGAGCTGGGAGCTGCTGTCACTGTGGGGTGACTGGCTTGTGGTGTGTGGGGGGCTCCCGATGGGAAACTGGCCACCCAGCTGTCATGTGGCAGCTCACCCCAACTTCCCCCAGCCAAACGCTGACAAGCCCTGCTTCTCCTTCAGCTTCAGCTCAAGGATGGCAAATCTGCTGAGTGGACTTTATCCTGAGAGTCTGTTCTATATCTTCTCTTTGAGAGAGGGGAGTCCAGAAGCTTTTGGCTGGTAGAGGACCAGGCTTCAGACTCTCTGGACAGCAGGTGCTGCCACTTCGCAAGACTCTGGCTGGCCATGGGTCTCTGCACACAGGGGGATGTGCAGTGGAGGTGTGGATGGAGTATGTGTTCCTCTGTCTCTGCCCACCTTATTTTTGAGACAGGGTCTCTCCCCGAATCTGGATCTCACCAATGGACTGAATGAGCAGGCCAGTGAGCTCCCGGACCCTCCTGTCCCCATCTCTCAGCACTGTGATCACAGTGTGTATTGCCATGCCCGGCTTTTAACTCGGGTGTTGGGGAAATACTGGCTCTCATGTCTGCACAGCAAGCACTTTACTTAGCCAATCCCCCAGCCCCTGACGACCTTTCCTCTCTGTTATCATGGCTTAAACCGAGCAAAGAACATGGCTGCCTACATCTGAAATGCACAGGACAGCTAAGCTTACCTTCTCATTGGTCCCATTTTTCCAATATTGCGCCCTGTAAGTCCATGAGATGTAAATGTTCTTCATGGTCCACGTCTCAGGCTCGTTCTCAATGTGCGGGGCTGAGAAGCGCATATGTAAAGAATCAGCAAGAAACTCTATGCGCACCTCAGGAGGTCCAATAGTGGCTAAGCACAAGAACACACCAAAATGACAATCAAAAATCACACTGTCACACTGTGCTTAAACACGAATTCCTCATACATGTGCACAGCAATGGACTGAAAAACAACACCGATCCTCAACAAACCAGCTACAACATTGTCTAAGGAAGACCAATGTTTTTTTTTTTTCTTTTTGCCTATTAAAAAGATCCAATAACCTTTTTCTTTATTAATCAAATTTAATCTACTTATGTTCACAGTGAATATATAATATATTTAGGATGATTTCAACTATATTGTTTTTGCATTGTTTGTAAAAATGGCTCTTTTTTTTGGGCAGGGGTTGGTTGCCCCTGTACAAAGTCCAGGCTAGCCTCAGACTTGTGGTCTTCCTGCCTAAGTCTTGCCAGTGCTGTTGTTACAGGCACGACAGCATGCCTGAAAAAAGTCCGTTTTTAATTTTTTTATATTAGCTTCCTCTCTCTCTTTGTTTTCTGCCTTCTACTGGCTTGAACTTTTTTATTTTTTTTGGCATTAAAGCTACAAATGATATTTCCATTATCTGTAGAGATCTGTAAATATCTATCACCTACAGCTATCTATATTTTACAAGTTTTCTTTCCCTACCTACTTATATAGCTAGATCCTTCATCCCATCTACATCCCCATGCAAATGTCACTCTTCGGGCGCCTGTGTATTGTGGCTCTGTGGATGAGAGTGGAATTTCTCCCTTCTGCTGGCTGTCAGCTTTGAGGGCCATCGTCCCCCTCTGCCTATTAAGCTCCCAGTCAGTCTTCCTACGAGTCCAGTGTACTCCGTGAAGGCAAGGCTTTGTTCTTGTCTCTTGTTGTGGCTCCCATCTGAGAACATGTCCAGCTCACAGCAGGTGCTCAAAATAACCACTGTTATTTTGAGGAATAACAAAAGGTCTGGGAAAGCACTCTGCGTTATGTCCTGTGTTTTCCTCTCTGACCACTGTTACTTTTGGGGTGTGGGGGGACTGCTGTTAAGCACAGGGGCCTGGCCAGCATCTCTGCTCTCTCACTTTCACATAACCTTGGGTCACGTGTTAGGAGTTGGTCTGGTGTTCTACGTATTCAAATGCTGAATTCCGGGCCCCCAAGATCTAGTTGCAGTCCTGGCAAGTGCATTTTCACATGCACCAATTTAAGTTGTGAAAATTTTGCTCCCCAAATATCTCTGATTGGTTAGTTAAAGAAAAAGAAAAAAAGCTGGACAGCCTGTAACTGGGCAGAAGAGAGGTGGGTAGAGCTTCTGTTCCTGGGCTTGGGGGTCTCAGGTAGGGATCATGCGAGAGAAAAGACATGGCCTGATGGAACAGATGCAGCCCAGACAGGACCAGTGTTGGCAAAAAATTTGGGGTGTGTGGCTGGGAAGTAGCCAGCCTAGCCTAGAGGATTAGTATAAGGCGTATTTGCCCAGTTTTTGTGCTTAAACCTTATTAATACACATACTAAGTCAGAGTATTTCATTTGGAAGCTAGACCAGATAAATAATAAGCCCCCTGATGAGGCTGGAGAGATGGCTCAGAGGTTAAGAGCACTGGCTGTTCTTCCAGAGGTCCTGAGTTCAATTCCCAGCAACCATATGGTGGCTCACAACCATCTACGATGAGTTCTGGCCTGCAGGTGTACATGCAGGCGGAACACTGTATGCGTAATAAATAAATAAATCTTTAAAAAAGCCCCTGAATTAATACATTATTCAACAACGGTCCCGGTCCTTGATCTGAGTCTACTGGGAACTGGCTTCGATGGGGCATAATGTAGGATTTAGAACCAGCCAGGTCCACCTAGAAATTATTGGAGCAGAAGCCTGTATATCAAACGGACCCCAGTTTACATTGGCTTGACTTCCGGTGTGAAAGAGACTGACATTAAACAGAGACTGAACTTTGATCTTTGAATTGTGGTATTCCCTCAAGCTAAGGACATGTGGTTTGATTTCTTTTTCAATGCAGGGAGATGGCTGTGAGCCATCACCTCCCTGTCAGTCATGGGATCAGAAGGGTGCAGCAGGGTAGGCGTGTCAAATGCACATTGATTTATGACATCTTCAATTTATGATGGGTTTACAAGAAAACAACAGCCCTGAAGAGGTTTTTTTTTTTTTTTTTTTTTTTTTCTTTTGAAGCCTGACTACCATGAACTTTTTTAAACATTAAACACTCTGGTGGTCCTGGGAGGGTGTTAGGTGAGCTTTGTTTCTGATGTGCTTGCAACCTCTAATCTGCTCTATTCTTCCAGTTGCTGTATGGTGGCTTAATTAGTTCTCAGTTCCTGATTCTCAGGGCCTCATGGTCCTCACAGCCCTTCACCTCTTACTAGGGCCTATTCAGCCGTTTCCACCCTCAGCCTGCTACTCTCTTCCATCCTTCTCCAGGCAAGTGGTCTTTCTGCATCTACCTCTCTCCTCCTTTGTCACATGTTAAAACTTATCTTTATTTTTATTTCACGTGTATGGTGCTTTGCCTTTATATATGCTCTGTATACCAGGTATGCAAAGAGGCCAGAGCTGGTGCCAAGCCCCACAGGACTGGAATTATGTATGTTGTGAGCTGATGAGTGGGTGCTGGGAATTGAACCTAATTGACTTTCCTTCCGGAAAACTGTTACAGCTTTCTGACTCTTTACTAACAGCACTGGCCCGAACTCACTCATATGAATGAGTAGTGAAGTCACCAAATTTATATTTGTTTATTTTATTAATGACATGTATATATATTTTTTTCTGGCTTCAACCATGAATTTCTTTAAGATCACAGTTCTTTGCTATATCCTGGGCTTCATTCTTCTGTAGGCCTGCTAAGAATTCTTACTGGTGGCTCATCCTCATAGACAAAAGCAAGGAAAGATGACTCCATGATATAACAAAATAGAAAAGAAATGGCTTACTGTCTTCTACAGGGCAGAAGGTGATGTTCACCCAGTCCGAATGCTCATCTGCGAGCTCAGTCCTGACTCTCAGAGTGTACACACCATACTTAGAGAGGGTGGAGAAGTCACACTGTGTAGAGACAGTGTTCTTGCAGCGATCTTGGAAATACCTGTAGCTACACAATCAGAGAGACAAAATCAGTGAGGGCTCTGTCTGTGGGCCGACGGCTGCTTTATTCCCCGGGATAGCAAAGATGAATGGCGGATAGTGAAGGCAAAAGAAAGGCGTTCTTATTTCTTCCCTTCGTTGTTTTGTTTCAGTTTTCCGAGTCTCCCCCTGTTGCTCAGGCTGGCCTCTAATTTAAGATCCTCAGGCTGGCCTCTAATTTAAGATCCTCCTGCCTCAGCACCCCGAATGCTGGGTTTTCATGTGTGCACCCCTGTGCCTGGCATATTCCTGCTCTCTAATTTTGATAAATGCTATGCACAGGAAATTAATATTTTTCGAATTGTGTGTTTCCTGAGATCTTAATAAACCCCGGGGAACCACAAGGCATTTAAATACAGTCCATTCCACAGTCAAGTCATTTGTGGAAAAGTGAATTAAACAAAAAAGCAGTATCTTAGCAACAAAGGCTTTACTGTCCCAATAAGCACACAGGGCTCCAAATCCCTGGGCCGAGTGTTCAATGCATCAGACTGAGGCTTCCTGCCCGGATTGCGAGTTTCTCAAAGCACCAGGCTCTGACTCATGAGAGGCTGACACACACCTATTAACTAGAAAATAATAAGATGACTTTGAAGACTGGCTCACATTGCGAGGATTCTGGAAAACCTATGAAAACAATCCATCCATCCTCATAATGAGAGCAAGAGCAGCCAGCACAGCTAGAGGGTGGCAGATGTAACCGGGGAATTCCTTCGCCCACAGAGGCCCGAGGAGCTGTAAGCAGCTACTGTCCTAAGACAACACTTCCTCCAGCTGCCTTCCCGTCAGTAAGGAGCTGCCTGACTGGTTCTCAGCTCACCTTCTCGTCTAGGTGTGAGCCACCTGGAACACCCTCGCTGTCTATTTTGGTTTCTTTTCCTGTTGCTATGACAAAATATTCTGACAAAATCAACTTAAGACAGAAAGTTGGTTCTGACTCACAGGCCCAGACTGCCACGGCAGGAAGAGAAGGGGCAGGAGCTGGAGTCAACCAGTTATGCTAAGTTAGGAGGGGCAGCGAATGTGTGTGCACGAGGTCTCGGCTCGCGCTCACCTTTCTAAAAAACGTTTATTTTATTTTTATTTATGTGTACGTGTGTGTGCATGTGCCACAGGAGGCCAGAAAAAAGGCCGTGAATCCGAGGAGCTGGAGTGCTACCCCACACAGAACCACACTCGAGTCCTCTGCAAAAGCAGCCTTTACTACAGGCAGCTCTGCTGCCTGGCCCTCTGTGCCACCTGTTACCAGTCACAGACTGTGGACCAGAGATCACCATGTCGAGTGGGAAAGGGCATTCTGTTTTTATGAGACATACCCTGACGCCTATGTGTGCATGTGGACAATTTTCGATGTCAACCTGATGAAATTTAAAATCAGCATGGAAACACCCCGGCCTTTGGGAGTGTTTTCAGGAAGGTTTAACATATCCTGGACGCCTGGATAGGAACAGCACTTTCTTATGAACTGGGGTATCAGGCTGAATAAAGAGCAGGGAGCGAGTTGAGTACCAGCTTTCTGTCTGCGCCCTGACTGGGTGTGTGGCTGGTCCCGTGCTCTCCCCACCAGGATGGCTTCAGAGAGACAAAATCAGTGAGGGCTCTGTCTGCGGGCTGACGGCACCCCCCCCCCCCAAAAAAAAAAAAAAAAACCCAAAAAAAACTTTCCTTCTTCACATCCCTTTTGTCATAGCAATAAGAAAAGAAATCAATACAGAGAGTTCAGGGAAGAAAAAATATAGTAAAAACTAAAAATTGATAAATCTCAATGTAGGTGTTCTAGCTTTTATTTCTATACTTGAAATGTTCAATTTGTATGAAATTACTTCAAACTAAGAAAAAAGTGAAAAACTCAACACGTAGGCAAGGGTCGCTCTATCCTTTCTACTCCTTGAACTTTGCAGCCTTCCGTGTTTGTAAAATGACGGCTGCATGCAAGAGAGGGCGGGGCTACGCAGACCTGGAAGGGCACGCTCTTGGAGGCCTGTCTGTCTTCCCACGGTTCTGAGAAGCCAGGGGTGCCAGCTGGTGGGCTTGGGGTTCTGCTGCTGCAGGTGTGTCACCTGTCAGCCAGCCCGTGTCTAATGCGGACGGCTGTCAAGGGAACGCTGGCCTGTACCCTTCACCAGATCTAGGGACTTGCAGACAGCCAGGGCGAGTGAGGGCCCTGCAGCGGGGGCGGGGAGGGGGCCAGGGCCCGGAACGTTCTAGAAGGCCTGCAGTGGCGGCTGGGTGGTGGGAAGCAAGTGTCTTCCTGACTGTTCTGCACACCTGGCGTTTTGGGCAGCTGCCGCCTGCACACTGTTTGTTGACTTTTCACAATGCTGTCTGTATAACTGAAGAGAGCAGCAGCACTTGTTTCCGTCCACAGACACGTGCGTTTGAGGACAGCCAGGGCTAACAGGACGGCTTCCCAGCGGTCACAGACTCACAGGCGGACGTAGTCAGATTCCCTCCCTGCTGAGCCCCAGCCCAGGGCCACCTTCCTGCAAACAGCCACCAGACTTACCTTTCATACTGGGCTGTGAAAGTCAGGTTCTCTTCGGGGAAAGCAGGTGGATCCCATTGTAGGATGTTCTTGAAATTAACTGAGTTCATCCTGACATTCTCAGGAGGCGGAAGCATTCCTAGAGCTGGGAAGATAGGGGGTGGGTGGGGGAGGGGACGGCAATGTTGGTTTTTCCTCAAAAAAGACCAAAAAAATGACCACATCCCATATCTGGGTCTCCCAGATCCATATCTTCAAATGTTGTGTGTGTGTGTGTGTGTGTGTGTGTGTGTGTGTGTGTGTGTGTGTAGGGGAGTACTAGCTATGTCGAGGAGGCTGGGTTTTAGTCAGAGCAACAATGCTGAGACTTTCTGGCTGGAGCCCTGGTTGGAGCTAGAGCAGGGAACCAAGAGTCTCCAGCCAGCGGCAACCGACCTGATCCTCTCTGGAGACTCATGCAAGGTTGCCAGGGCGACCTCTGGGTGAGTGAGTCTGGGGTCGCATAGAGGGCAACTCTGGGCTGAAGACAGAAAAAATCCTAAACCACGAAGCACCCAACTGCCAACAGTGTGGCAGTAATTACTCAGCAGCAAGCTGCCCGGGGCTGTCTCAGAGCAGCCGCGATGGGGAAGGAGAAAGCTTGGGCTCAGGAGGAGGACCCCCCTCTCCGAGCAGAACCCGTGGGGAATCCCTAGAGCGCAGCACCAGCTGCCAAGCCCGGCGGGCACACGCTGCTGAGAGTCTCCAGAAGCTCTTTGGGGAGGAGAGGGACAGACTTCAGGTTTCAGGGTGTGGACGAGTGAAGAGGAAGAGGAAGGCGTGAGGAAGGGGGCTGGCCCTGTAGAGGACGCGGCAGAGGAAAGGTGCTGCGGCGGGGTGTGTCCCGCGGGTCCGGACAGCCACCGCGGGGTGCCCGGGGGCTGTCAGCAGCTGTCCCCGCACCCCGCTTTAGTTTATCGTCTACACAGCCTGTCCCCCGTGGACCCCGCTGTGGGCTGGTGTGTGTGCATGTGTGTGGACCCCACGATCCAGGCAATGGGAGCGTGTGTGTGTGTGTGTGTGTGTGTGGCCGGCCGAGGAGAGGGGTTCCTTTCCCCGGCGCCGCACACCGCCCTTTCGGGGCGCCCACTTGGGCACGCCCCGCCTCCGAGTTCCCAAGCCTGGGGGCTGCCCGCGGGGGCCCTGCCCGCCCGACCTCACCTGGCAGCAGCAGGAAGCCGGCCAGCCAGCTCGCCGAGCCCCGCGCCCTGGCCATGGCCCGCGCCGCAGCCCCGCAGCCGCCGGCGCCCTTCCGGGAACGTCCGCGGGCCAGGCCACTCCCCTCGGCTGCCTCCGCCCGCCCGCAGCCTCGCGGGGAGCCGGGCCGCCTCGAGCCAGCCACACCGAGGCCAGGCCGGAGTCCAGCGGGCCCACCCCGGACTCCCCTCCGCCGCCCCCACCCCCAACCGCGGGCTCGTCCTCCGGGTACTCTCTCCCTTGTTTCTGTTTCTCTTCCTCGGTGGGTGGATGGGGAGACATTTGTCTTTCTGTGTAGCCCAGACTAGGCCTCAATTTGAAGCCATCCTCCTGCCTCAACATCCCGAGAGCTGCTCAGCTACTTTGGATCACTCAGTGTGCCTGCTCCGTTTCTCCCCACCCAAGCATCACTTCTCCAAAGTCTTGTCTCCCAAACCAGAGATGAGACAGAGTACTTCCCAGCAAGCCCAGCGTGGGAATGGTTTAGTGCCCACCAGGAGGAGATGGCAAAAGGCCAATTTGTTCATTTCTTGGTAACTTTTTTCTTGTACAAGACGTCTGAGGAAGTTTTTATTTCTTCTTCTTAAGCGGACCCGGTGGCGAGGTGGGAAAATCCATGGCAGGCCAGCTACATGTTGAGAAATGTCAAAGCAATGTGAGTTGGGAGATGGTGGATGGGGGAACACCATCCCGGCAAGCCATAGCAGATTTAGAAAAAGCTAGTACAACCTTGAAATGCCAGCAGAACCACAAATACATTTTTGTGAGAAACATTCTAGGGAGAAACGACTCAAAAAGACCACCACAGGCTTATATAAAAAAGTATTTTTGTATTACTCTCTGACGATCTTCAAACATACAAAATTTAAAAAATGTAAGTGCGCGCATTAAAAAGCCAACTCCTAGCAATTATGCAAAGCTTAAAAAAAAAGGGTATTACCAATGAATGAGTCTCTACAGATGATGGATGGGCTCAGAGGGCAGAGAACGGGTTTATGGGTATAGGATCTTCCTGTGGGATTTTTATTAGGTCTGCCTGACATGGGCTTCTTCTGAATTGCCTTAGAGGAGTTACAGAGGCAGTCCACTGGAAGCCTTTGAGTGAGGACCCGTGTAGCAGTTCCTCTTGGAATGGAAGGAAGGTGTGAGAAACTGGCTTTTGGGTGAGAGGAGATGAGAGGGTCCTATACCCTTCATGGAAGGCGTCCAGGGTGTGCGTCTTTATCCCCCTCTTTCTGGGCCTCTATGATGATGGAGATTACTTGGTCCGTGTCTAAAAAAGATAAAAATAAGGCTCCCAAAGGCTCCTGTTAGCAATCAACTGTCCAGCTCCCAAGCTCATTTGAGAACTTCCCTTTTGGTTTCTGTTCTCAGACGCACAGCAGCTGTAAGCCCATGTAGAGAATATGAGGTCGACACACAAGCACTTTAAAAATAGTGAATTGGCTCTAAGACGTGGACCCCTATATATTCTGAAGTCCCTGAAATGCTCGCTTTTGCTCTTTCCCCCCTTTTTCTAAACCTTAAAATATGGCAATGAGATTGTTCTCCCCACCCTCTACCAAGCCGCATTTCCTTTCTCTCTGAGTGCTTTGATGGATCCTAGAATTATTCATATGGCTGTAGAAGGTTTTGTGGGTGGCTGTGAATGACCTCAGTGTGGAGGAGACAGACCGTGACATCTGAGAAGGGCCCAGACACCGGAGGCTCAAACCTTGCTGGCTCCTTCTGTGCATACGTCTCCTCTCTCCCCTCGAGCTTGGCATGCCTTTCTGCCCTTTCTCTTCCCCAATTTAATAATTTCCTAGGAATAACGCAGGGATAGGAGGCCTTCGCTGCCTCTGAAAACCACACTGTTCCCTGGGAACATAACACAGATCCGCCCTTAGTGCGTTTGTGGAGAGGGGGTGGGCAGGCGTGCTCATGACCTATGTAAACAATGCCACTGCCCAGACCAGGGATCTGCACAGAGAAGGCCATCAGCAAGGGCCAGAGGGGCTCTACAGTTCTCTTGTTCCTCCCTCAGAGACACCGCAGACCACCAGGTATCCAGGCTGCCAGGAGAACCTCGTGGGTGGGCGCTCCGCTCCAGTCAATGGACCACTATCGGGTTATCTCATAATGTAGCCATCTCCTAGGTCAGCATCGGAATCCGAAGTGTCAGTTCTTTCAGAAGACCCATCTTCCGTCCATAGGTCCTGGGAAGAAAGGCTGGGCTGGGGCTGCTGTGTCCTGTCCGCCGCAGCCATCAAGAGGTCTGACTCTGACCTGGGGAGAACCTCATCTAGGATGATGGTATCTTCTGTGAGAGAGAGCAGCTCTGAGGTATCTTCAGAGTCGCCGTGGAGAGCTCTCAAAAACACAGAGTTTAAGTTCACGTTGAAGGTAACTTTGTCCTCAGGCCCGTCTGTGCAGCTGCCATCATCCTCGGGGAAGGAGTCCGGAGGCACACTCTCTGTCCTCTCATCGGGGCCACTCGGGTCTTCTGAAGGCCTGAGGCCCGGCCCCACCTCAGCCTCTGTGGGCAGTTCCAGCTCAGCTCCAGCCCCCGCCCCAGCCTTGTAGGATTCCTCAGTCCCTGAATCTTCTTCAGGCTGGGGTTCTGGGGGCTGGTCTGGGGAGTCAGAGGCCTGTGACGGAAGCTTGACCATCAGTCCGTGCATGGTGTAACCAGTGGCCCTTGCTTTGGGAACTTCTTCGTCATCACTGTCACTTTCATCTCCGTAATCGTAATTCCACAGTTTCTTCTTCTTGTTGGAGGGAATGATCTCCAATGTGCTCACTGCTTCTGACGGTGGCAGTTCAGGGACTATCCATGCTAAAAAGTGACGGAACTTCTAGAGAGAGAAGGAGGGAGAGAAGGAGGAAGGGCATGAGGGAGGGGGAGAGAGAAAGTCTTTCACTTGTATTAACTCTTTAACAAACCAAAGCAAAGCAAACCACAGTATTCAGTGTGAAGTGAGTGACACCTACATCCATGTATAATTACATCCATGTATAATTACATCCATGTATAATTGCATCCATGTGTAATAACATCCGTGTGTAATCACAAAAGTTGACGGTTGTGTAGCACTTGCTGGTTGCTGGGCACTGCCCCTGTGTTTCATAATAGGACCCTCCAAACTGAAGGATGCTAGGGTCCCCTGAATAAAATGTCACAGCATCTGGCATGTCGCTCTGTCATCCTCACGTATGCCTTCAATCGCCTCAACTGCTTGGCACACTCAGTACAGTACGAACTCTGTGTAAGCGAGACACTGCGCTGCTTGGGGAATACTGCCAAGACAAAGTCCACACAGACACCCTCTCCACAGCTGGATGAAGTCTGTGGATGCAAACCGTTCTCTGTGTCTCCTTGCCCTCACAAGCGCTCTGCTTGCTTTTCCCTCTCGCTCGGTAGTGCTCGCGTGCATGTGCGTATGTGCTGGGTATTGAACTCGGGGCCTTTTGCGTGCTCAGCACACCCCATGTCCCTGGACTCCATGCCCAGCCTGCAGGCTTATCCTGCGGCTAGCTGTGTGTGGCGTGAGGCAGAGCGGGATCCCACAAGGTTCTCCGGCACGGTGCCACTGCCATGGCCGCCCTTCCCCGGCCAGTCTGCTCGGCCACCGCCTCTCAATTGGCTTTCATGCAAGTGCCCGTGTTCCTGGACTTTAGTGCTGACAGGGTTTTTGTTCCCCTTTTCAGTAAGTTCATTAGATTTATTCCTTAAACTAAAAAAAAAAAAAAAAAAAAAAAAAAAAAAAAGAAGTCGCTACTCCTGTAATTGCATGGGTTTGGAGGTTATTGAAAATGATCTTCCATTCCATAAATACTTAAAAAAGAAACAGGAAAATAATCTGTGCCACTAGTAATCTAGACCAGTCTTGATGAGAATCGGTGCCTTGGAAGGTGGCAAGAGAGAGGGTTCTGGGAGAGCTGCTGTGTCTGCTTTCTTGGTCTGGGCATAAGTTACACGGTTGTTCGAGCTGGGCAAAATTCAGTGAGTTTTCCACAGGTGGTTTCTGTATGCTCTTCCGGAGGCTGGAAACAGCTTCACCCTTATTTTCTAACTAAACACAGACAATTTAAGTGTGCAATGACCTTGCCAAACCTTCTGATTTTTTTTTCTCTGAGATGGTCTCATCGTGCAGCCCTGGCTGGCCCTGCACTCGCTGTGTTGAGATGACTGAAACTGAAATTTAGCTCTAGAGTAATGTACAGTTTTGAGCTTAGTAGTATCAGCTATAAATTATTATGGTAGTATCAGCTATAAATTATTACGGTCTGCCCTACTCTTTAAACTAAGTCCCACGGGCAGGGTTTTTGTCTGCCCTGCTCCATGCACCAACACTTGGAACACACCGTCATTCAGTAGAGTCAGCAGGCATTTGGAAACGCACAACAGGAACTTTACCATCTGAACACTTTACTAGCACATTCAAGCCCCTGAGCTCAAACTGAGCTCTGGTTACAGTGCACCCACAAACACACTAGACCTACAGTGCCAGCTTCCTGCTTCCGGAGGGTTTGCTTAAATGGAGAGCAACAGGTTTTAAACAGAGAATTAGTAGACAGACCCAAGGTGACGCTGGACCGAGGTGAGTAAAGCCCTCTTGGCTGTGGAGGGCGGTTGATTCAAGGCTTCGGGGAGAACAGAACAAGGCAGACGAGCTACTGCATGAGAAAGCAATGTAAAGGGTGGAGAGTGGAGTAAAAAAAGATACATGGTTGGCAGAGGCAGTTGAGTCAAAACACATGTAGTTTAGAAAGACAAAGGCCCAATACTCAGACTCCGTACGGGCTCTGAGCTCTAAGCAGACACACAGAAGAAAGGTACGCAAAGGGCTGTCTTTGTGACTAATGAAAGGAACATATGAAAACGCTGTGAGAAGCCATCATGTACAGGACCGTGAACAGAGCATGGCAAATTAGCTTGTTAGGACATTTTATAAGACAAATCTGCTGTGTTTATGTGGTCCATTGACGTAATCTAAAACAAAGAGATGACCTACATAAAAATTTCCACTGTACTATTCCTAACTGGAATGAGAGAGAGAGAGAGAGAGAGAGAGAGAGA